GGACATGGCAGCCCTGGAAAAGAATTAACTCTTGATTTAATTCTTTTCCAAACCAACTTGGGATTTAATTCTTTTCCCAAACAACCTGTACACAAAGTCTATTCCACCATGGTGCCCACAAAAGAGTCAACTCAGGATTTAATTCTTTTTGAAGGGATCCAAATAGCAATAAAGTACCACATTGGGTAGGGGGCACATAAAAAGAATTAAATCCTGAGTTGATTCTTCTACAATAGGGATGGTACCAAGAATTAACTTGGGAGTTAATACTTCTCAGGGGGTAGCTGATAGGTACCAAAAGATAAAGAATTAACCCAGGAGTTGAGAATATTCAACTTGGGTATTCACTCCTTGTCGCATACCCAACTGACCAACCAGTTGCTTGGCAATCACTTTACAGGTCTCTTTCGTGATTTAAGCATTCCCGATCATTGTCTTTATGTCTGGTGATACACATGTTCATGTTTCTCTTGATCCCCTTTATTTGTCTTGTAAGGCAGCACTGCTTGAAACAAAAAAGAACACAGACAGGGCATGATAGGCCATGAGAGGGTCATGATATGCGTGTCCTTTTCCTTCGAAGAGACTCGACTCTTCCACCGAATGTCTTACTTGATTCTTCCTCCGAATGTCTTACCGAGTTCAGAACGGTAGGCGAGTACGAGAAGGCGATCTCCTGCTACCAGGAGGCGATCGATGGGATGCGAGTCCGGTGGCGTGTTGACCCGCGAGCCCGGTGAGTGGCGAGACAGGCGGCGTGTTGGGCGCAAAAAGGATCCCAAGATGTGGGAAGGTTGCTGCAAGATGGAAAGTCCACGACTGGTGGCACCTTCCCAACATTTCCAAACGCATTCGGTAGGGCAACAGCAATACTTACAATGACATCATGCTGGAAGTACTGAAGTGACTGGGACCAGTGGTTGAAGTCTCTGAATTTTGGTCCAAGTCACTGAGCCCCTCATATTGGCACCACGTTCAACACTGCGCCACGTTCAACACTGCGGTGCTGCAGGCTATTGACCTCTGTGAGGAGCACGGAGGTGTGCTGAGAAGACTCTTGTAGAAGAAATGACAAGAAGGTGCATGTAAGCAGATGTTTTCTTCCCAACTGGAGAGCATACGGACATACTGGACAGTTAAAGGGGTCCAACAATCTGCAAGAGCTGGGTTGCACACTGTTTGTCAATACGCAACATACAGGTAGACTATGATAGACTCATGAGCCATCATAAACCCTTGTCAAGTTTCGTCATTCATTCTCTTCAAAACAAGTCGGCTGGCCTCGGCGGCCTTGAGAGAAACGGTGCTTCCTCGAACGAAAAAGACATCGATGAGAAAACATGAGAAAAGAAAGTAAGAATTCAGGATCCATTTGCTTATAAGGTCTCCTTATCTCGGGGGGCCTTACCACCCGTCTTCTTCTGTTTCTTCTGTTCAGCCTTGGTTTCGTTTGCCCAATGATTTCGTTTCCACGTCCAACATGATATCCGCAGGCCCTGGAACGCCGTGCGGGCAGGCGGGCCACTGAGTGAGTTCTCAAGCACTCCATTCTGAGAGTAGTGTCCTTGCTCCTAGTAGCGTTCTTGCTACTAGTAGCGATGCCAGGAGCCCCTAGTGGCTTCTTGCTCCTAGTAGTAAGGCCAGGAGCCCCTAGACGCAGAAGGTTGGTTGAATGAGTTGAATGATATTTTTTTCCTTATTATCCTTGTTGTTCTTGTTCATCTTGTTTTGCTCTTCTTCCTCCTCTTCCTCTTCCTCCACTCTTCCTATTCTTTTCTTTTTCTTCATCTTCATCTTCACCATCTTCTTCATCTTCATCATCATCATCATCATCTTCTTCTTCTTCTTCTTCCCACGTCTTCTTCTGCATGCTCAGAGCCACCATGTCGAAAAGGTCTGACTCAAAGCAAAAGCAAACCAATATAATAGTTTCAATAATGCGACCATGTTTGGAAGACATTTTCAGCACCACGGCTGCTTTCAAGCAGCTTCCAAGACAGACCCAACCAAACGCAACCACCCCAGTGCAACATGTCCATGTTGGACTTGTTGATAAAGATGCTCGGTCCGAGCGAGGTGCCAGAGGTCGCATGCGCGACACCTGAAAGTGGTTGGTTCCCTTGATTTCTGGCCATGTGGGACCTATGAAGATTTGAATCTAAATAGGAAAAGAAAAAGGACATATCCTATGTATTCTTATACTTCTCTATGTTCCTACTTCTGTCCCTATTGTTGGCCCAAACACGGAAGCCTCGTCTCATGACCTTTGCCGCACCAGGCCATGGAGCGCGTCGCGAGCAACCGCGACAACCTTGTGAGGCTGAGGCTGGGTCGCTGGCGAAAGGTCTGGTGCAAAATCCAAGACCTACGAGCCTAGTAGACACGCCCGGGCCCGACACGCCTAGAAGGCACGCCTAGTAGGCACTTCGGGCTTTGTAGCATGGACAAATCCCAAGCCCAGCTGAACATAGAGAGGAATTGAGAAGGAGCATTGAGATCATTGGGACATGAAGATTGCATTATGAAAAGGTGAAATAGTGAAAGACCCTTTCTACGCTGCGACCGGTGGGCCGTTGGACCCTTTCGACCAGTTTCCCACAGGTACAACCTGGCCAGAGCATTCCATCGCTGTGACCGGTGGATGGAGGCTGGATTCCAATCTTTTTCAAGGCCCAAAATTGACCGTTACTCTTCGTGTTGGGCGGAATTCGGGGGCGAGCTGGCTACTGTAATTATATACTATATTTGCAGTTGTGTTTTTGCGCCCATGGCCAAGAATGCCGAGCCACCATTGGTTGCGCCCCAGGCTACCAAGTTGGGATGGGGATTGATTTTTCCCAGGCTCGAGAGCAAGCGTCTGCCGTGCTCAGTTTGGACAGCGGGCATCTCAGCCGGCACCAAAAAACTAGAGATGAGCTCGCTTGGTCCTGTCCATTCCAAAAAGCAGAACATCCAATGTGGCATAAACCTGCATGTCCATTTTCTTTGTGGCGCTGCGCTGGCAGCGTTGCTCATGTGCTTCGTAGAGAAACGCTTCTCTTGGCTTCTCCGAGGTGACTACCTCAATGCCTATGCCTTGCGTGCGCAGGTCGGCGTGCGACTTTCGGATCGTGAAGTATATGTGCAACACACACGTGACTCCAAGCTGGATATTTCATGGATTTTCATGGTTGGTTTGGTGAACACAGTCCAATGAAGCTTTGTGGACCCTGGAAAGCAAGTGCAGTACATATATGTTATATGTACATATAATATATCGCTTGAGGTGGCAAACACATGCAAACATAGGAAGGTTTTGAGGTGCAAAGAAGACAGCAACGTGAACAAAACACTGGAAATGGGTCAGTCATGGTCAGTTGGGTTGGGCTGGGATCGGTCGTGATCACCATATGTTTCTGTGTCGTGATGAGCGGGGGGGCACCTTTTAGGGTTCTTTCACCTAGCATGGCCAACAACACCAGACACCAATACTTCTTGAAGGTGGCAGTGATCCTCGAGTGAGAAGTACCACCGGTGACCTATTGGATTCGTTCGCCGATTTCGTCGGCCAACGCCCACGTCGCTTCGCGCACGCGAAATGGCGCCCCCTCCACCGGTCAGCGACGTCCAGCGGCGACGTCCAGTCCACGAGGCGGCCATGTCTGCCTTGGACTGGTCTGCGGCGAAGGCCGACTGGGAGCGACTGGGCCTCCTGGCTGACCAAGGCACGGTGGCTTGACGCGAAAAGGCGCGTAAGTTGAGTGACGTCATGGAGGAATGGACTGAGCAGGGAAGCACTCTGAGCACTCGCTGCGAGGGGTTCGAAAGCAACTGGTCAGTAGATTTGGTCATATCCAGTTCAGGGCTTCGCCACGCTTTGATAGGTGTAGATGCCTGTATTAGATAGCCGCTAGCCAAGTTCCTTTCGTTGGAGGGCCAGCAAGTGAGGCTTCCTGGGATACCCCAAAGATAGAAGATATCCTCCAAGTACCAATGGACGAGGGAGTATATATCCAAAGAAAAGGCAGCGGATGAACTTCCACTGACAACTCGCTTGTAGCTGTTTTGGCACTGTCAGATTTAAAGCTGCTATTGGGCCCGTTTCAAGATGATCTTTCAAGTACTCGGCATGGCATTCACTGCAATGGCCCTCGCAGAGAAGATGGAAGATATGCCTGAGACTTGGCGAGATGCAAGCGATGCAATGTCCAGCGATGCTTGATTTCGCACAAGCACTTGTTTGTCCAGCAATCAATTGTTATTTTTTAAAGTTTGCATATGTTTGCAGTGTCATGTAGTTCAATTGCAACTATTTTGAAACGTAGACGGGGAGAGGAGATGAGAAATACTGACTGTATGTCGAATTCGTATCATTTCTGGCCGTGTGGTCCATGGCCATGTCGTTTGACTTTTGTGTGCCTCGAAAGAAGCTTGGCCTCCTTTCTGTCAAACCTTGGATGCTGTGCCATCAGGTGTAGGCATATGAATCAACTGAAGCTTCTTTGTTGACCATGTTCATCGGTTTCATCCTTTTGCGCTCCCTTTTTCATCGCTTTTCCCTTTGGAAGGACGGCACCACTATCCTTTGCCACTTTGGAGTGCGTTGTTCAGGCCCCCTAGGCTTGGGTGCATGCGAATGCTTGGAGGGAGACCAAAAGCACCTCAGGGGCCACTCCCCGCGCCGGACTGCGGACGGCGACTCTCCGTGGGTCTCGGCGGGGACGTCAGAAGCGTCAGAAGCGTCGAACGACGGGAGGCAACTTGCAGGGCCGAATTCCACTGGATCGAAGACCAAGTCTCGCAGATCAGAGCTGCTGGGTAAGTACCTGGGCGAAAGCAGGCGAAAAGCACAGCAGTTCACCATGGCCGAAGCCATGGCCTTTTTTCCTTTTTATAAGCTGTATGGCTGTATTGGATTAAGACCTGCTTTGGTTGAAAAAGCAGAAGTTGTTTGGCTGTTGCTTTTCTTTGGAGTCTCTTTGGCCCGGGGCCCCAACGACGTGAGGTTTCGAGTGAGATGCCACTGTGGAGTCGTTTGCCAGTGGGGAGTCCACAACTATGGGCGAATCAAGGTTTGCAACGGACCTCTCTTTTGCAGATCTTGCTTTCCATCTTCTCCAGCCTATGGGTCAGTTGGTGGGGTCCGGTGATTGGGGATCTCTCCAGGTATTGTTTTTCTGTCGGACACCAGGTAGGATTCACTCTAAATCATGCTGTGAAAAGCTGCTCGTTGGAGGGATCCTGATCTTCAATTTGCAGGGTCGCTGGCTAAAAAAGCCAAGACTTGCGCAGGCGCATGGGGTTTGCGCACTTGTTGAAACGATTTTTCACAGTCGCAGAAATCAACCACGCCTTTGCACAGCACTGGACTGGCGTTCATCGTTCCTTGGCGCTTGTACAGCGAATTTGGCCAAGGTGGATGTAAGTTCAGCCGCTCAGAGAGGGAACGGTTCAGCCGCTGAACCTGCCCCTCGAAAAGACCGCCAGAAAGTGGGCGCGTGCATGCCGGATTGTCGGAAATGGCCAGTTTTCTGACCACTAACATCTGCAAGATTTGCATCACGACTATGCCGATGGGAGCACGACAGGCTGACAGGCTTTAGATGGGCACCTGTCTTCGCAGCTCAATTCCAGGTGTTGCTCCGGTGAGCCCAGAAGTGCTTTCTGCATGGCAGAGGCCAGAGATGGCAAGATATGGTCAGATGGACTTCCTTGAGAATGTTCCTAGTAGCGTCCTTGCTCCTAGTAGTAAGGCCAGGAGCCACTAGTATTATGTCTGCCAGACCCCTTTATTCTAGAAGTTTATCATCTTGAAAAAAAACAAAAAAAACAATCACAAAATGCAACCAGAAAAACAAGAGCAATCACAAAAGCAAAACATATAGAGCAAACGTAACTAAGCAATCACAAATTGCAGCCAGAAAAACGAAAGCAATCATAAAAGCAAAAACCACAAACAAAAAAGACCCTTGTCCAGCACCAACCCTACCCGGCCCCTCTGTGTTTTGCTGGTGCTTTTTTGGTTGCGTTTTGTTGTTTTTGTTTTTGCTTTCTTGGTTGCTCTTTGTTTTGCTTGTGCTTTTTTGGCTTGTTTTTTTTGGTTTTATTTTCAAGTTTGTTGATTTCTAGAGTAAAGCCACCTCTGGTGGACATAACACTAGTAGCGTTCTTGCTCCTAGTAGTAAGGCCAGGAGCCACTAGTACTGGTGGTTTAGTATCCCACATGCAAAATGTATTAACTTCAACGGGCACCAGTAGCGTTCTGTCTCCTAGTAGCAATGCCCTTTGTTCCTAGTAGCTACTTGCTCCTAGTAGTACGGCCAGGAGCCCCTAGTAGCGAACATTGCTAGTACGACGTACGGGATGTCATAGTGTTGATACTTTGTCGATTCGTTTTCAACATAGAAACAATCTGAGATCTTATGAGATCTTAAGGCGCTTAGATGGATCTCATGTCATTCTTTTTTCGATGATGGATGGTGTATCTTTTTTTCACTCAAACTGATTCGAAGGCGAAAGGAGGAGTGCTGTCGGCAGCTAGCCCAGGACATAATTCTATTTGATGATACGTGCACATCGAGATTATCATAGAGTGGACGTAGAACGATGAGATGTGGACATTGAGCACATGTATATAACAGTATATATATATATATAGAGTCTTATATAATTGTATATATATATATATTACATATATAATCTGTGCGTTTACTACCTGCAAAGTGCATACATAGCAGTCCGTGGCATTGAAGCTTTCTACAACCGCTTGAATTTGCGTCCGTCAGCCAGGACCATTACGAGGCCTTGGGACTGCCGAAGCTTGCAGATGTGGATGACGTGCGGAAGGCCTATCGAGCCTCGGTGGGATCAGACTGGTTGGGGCCAGAAAGGTAATTCTTCCTTTGTATAAAACCAAAGGACACACATAGCCATATTCTTTCTTAGGTTTGAATGACAGATGGACATAGGCTTGTTGCGTTGCTGGTTCCCTTGCCTCCCTTGTGACCAATTCCAACCCTTTTGCGCGGAAGCGCCGTGTCATGTGGCTTCCAGTCTGATTCCTTCAAGCGAGTCATCACATCACCGTCAAACAGTTGGAATTTCTACCAAAAAACCGAGAGGCTTTGATCATGAAGGTTTCCGTCGATCCTAGCGAGTGGCATTGCAAAACGCAACTCCAAGGAGAGCTGGCAAGACGTTGGCACCCGGACAAGCACCAAAGCAGGCGAGGACTTCTCAAGGTCTCAGCATTCTGAAGCCTCGAGCCTAATTACTAGTAACAAGTGCATCGCTACTAGAAACAAGTGCCTTACTAGTAGTAACAAGAAGTTACTAGGAACAAGTGCATCGCTACTAGGAACAGGTGCCTTACTAGTAGTAACAAGAAGCTACTAGTAACAAGTGCATCGCTACTAGGAACAAGTGCCTTACTAGTAACTAGTAGTAACAAGAAGCTACTAGGAACAAGTGCATCGCTACTAGGAACAAGTGCCTTACTAGTAGTAACAAGAAGCTATTAGTAACAAGTGCGTCGCTACTAGGAACAAGTGCCTTATTAGTAGTAACAAGAAGCTATTAGGAACAATAAGCCACTAGGAACAAGTGCATCGCTACTAGGAACAAGTGCCTTACTAGTAATAACAAGAAGCTATTAGAAACAATATTTTAAGTAACATTCAATGCGTTGCCAGGGCCCCTGATTTGCGTGATCGGGCAAGCAAGCGCTTCACCCGCATTCGGCAAGCCTACGAGGTCTTGAATGACGAGGTGCGGTTTTTATTGTGGCAGGCTATGCCGAAACCAGACATTCAGCTGAAAGTAGGTGAGTCAGCAGGCTAAGCTCAAGCAGCAACAAAACGTTCACAGTCAATAAACACAAATCAGAACCCCCACCAACGGTCACCAACGAATATCACTAACGTGAGTCAAGCTCTGAACAAGATGTTGGGTGGGTGGACGGATGAGAGGTATATTGAGCCTTCAGTTGATGCGGGTTGTAAAGGGGCCAGGGCGAGGTGGGAGCATTGGGGGAGTCCTTGCGAGGACCAAGATGATGTCGTGGTTGTGAGACCCCTGAAATGGCTATGCTTGTCAAATGGGTGAGTTGGTTCACGTGCGTTTAGCTTGGATGCTTCGGTTGACGGCTAGATTCAGAACATTTAGTTGCTAACCATTCAATCCATTTAGAATTTAGATTATATACCGACTTTGCCATTTTGCTTGCCAAGCTGCTGATTGTTGGTTTCCAAGTGGGCCGCTTGGGTTTCCCTCAGTTCCTTGCTGCAACCTCAAGCCTGAAGGGTTGATTGCTTGCCTGTAGTTCCAGCATGTTCAAGCAAGCAGGTTCTTGTGGCATGTCAGTGGCCGGTGATCACTTTGAGGATTCGTCAATCCTTTGGCTGGAAACAAAAGAATGACCACATGCTCAGCCAAACTGTTCCACCCTGCAACACACCACCTTCGCTGTTGCAAATGTGGGAACCTATCATTTTGAGTGTAGCGGCTGTAGTGGCAACAACAATGCAGCAACCAGCTGTTCAAGTTCAGGTCCTTTTATGGCTTTTCTTGGCCTTCAGGTCGTTCTCGCAGATTGCACGCAGCAGTTCGTGTTTGCAAAGCCATTTCTTGGGGGACACGATGCAGGGCCTGAAGCACAACTACGACACGGAGCTCATGCTTTCAGAGGCACTGCTTCCTTCGAGAGATATTGGCTTCATTGAATGCCTCCTTGAATTTGCTTGCGTTTGACCGATGACCGTCCGAAGAAAACAGATGGACGGGCGATGCTGTTTGTCCTTTCAAATTTGCTTTTAATTAAAGTCTAATTCTTGTTTCTAATAGCTTCTTGTTACTACTAGTAAGGCACTTGTTACTAGTAGCGATGCACTTGTTCCTAGTACTTGATGATTTTCCGCAAGATCATCTATCCACACTGCGCCACTGTGACATGCGTCCAGGCAAGACCACTCTCTTCGGCTGTCTCATCTAAAGGCGAGCTGTCGACGCAGGGAGCACTAGATGAGGATGTTACTGAGTGGGTTGCCAATGAACATTTGCTGTGCCATGCTGTCTCTCACTGCTGGCAAGCATCCCCAGTTTTTTTCGGATGACTCCTTTGATGTCATTTGGCCTACCGCGTGCGGAAACAAAAAGGACACAGACTACAAACACAGGATGTTCTGAGCGGTGGCCAGCCCGAGAAGTGGATGTTCAGAGCGGTTGTAGGCGTGGAACGGGAGCTCTTCGACCACTTTGAACGCGCATGGGCAGACCATGTAGCTTGGACTGGGAACCGACTACTGATGGCGTTTAGTAAAAAAAGGCCGTGCATGGTCGAAGGCAGCAGGTTTGTTTTATTTGTTGTGCCTATTGAGGACCCTAGGCCCATCGAGATCCAAAACAAGAAGCTAGTAGCACTTTCTCCGAAGAGGATTGAAGTGTAGTGCAACCTGATTCCTTCCTACGACTACATTCTTCCCCCAACAAATCAAACAAAGGTGTTTCCTGATGTGACGACAGTTGGTCCACTGCTTGCTCATGAGCATCAGTACCATCACATCCTGCACACGGTGAGAATGGCACATGTTGAGTATGGCACAACATTCAGAATCCCTTCAGGACCCATGATCACACCCTCAGATGTTCGGCCTCTTCCTGCTTTTTCCACACTGTCGTCGACCTGATCTGCCGCTCAGGAGCGGGTGCTTTGAGGCGCCACCAAAATGGTCCAAAGATTCGGACCTGGAATCGACACTTGCAAAGTCAAGGGTGATGTCGGCGTCGCATTCGATGAACACAACTCGATGTCGGCGTCGAGCTGAACACTTCGACGTCAAGCAATTCCGTCCAGGAATCCTGGGTCAGCCGATTCGGAATTCACAGGGTTCATAGGGAACCGCGGTCCAATCCACCCCAAAACGTTGTGGGAAAAGATTGCACAAACTCGAAAGTGGGCTGCCGGTTCTTTCACAAGAACTGGCTTGTCTCGGACACCAGCCCTTTGTGAGTGCTTCAGCAAGAGCCTGCTACATCACAGGCTAGGACTTGCAATTAGACGCCCTGAGTCCAAGAAAACCGCTTGGAAGCAAAAGAGATCCACTGAGTCCAAGACGCAGGTGATATTCACTTTGTCCTGATTTGTCCTGAGTCTGATGGACTTCTTTCCATCGTTTTGTTGATGTTGCAGATTTGGATTTTGACGATAACCAATTTTGAAGACATTTGTAGCCGCTGTCCAAACCTGCAGCGGGATCGAAAGGCCTCTAATTATACAATCATCCATGCATGGTCCATGATGCGAAATCCCAAAAAAGTAGCCAAACATGTAGCCTAACTTGCAACGAGCCAACCAAAGCATACAACTGAAAGTAAACAAGAATCTAATATATACATATATATATGTACATATAGATCGCCATATGATATATATATATATAAGTCTTAAGACAAGATTCAGAATCAACACAGGAGTACGGGCATCCAATGAGTGACACACACACAATACGGGAATAAAGGGCCAACACGCAAGTCATTTGGGAATTTGAAGAACGGACGCTGGAACTGGTCAAGCACAACACGAGACACAGTACTAGAAAGCACTGGATCGAACCTCAACAGTGAAAACTTCAGCTCACTCTCAGCTCCCACCCATTTCCTACCCCCCACCCTACACCTTTAGCGCATGTCGCATGTCGCGGTTTTTCAGTGCAGCATGTGGTTGCGTGACGACCTGTGAGCCTTGCAATGGTTTCGTTACGCTTGGCAGCCGGATGCCTGGCATTCCGCTTGGCAGATGGCTTTGCACGCAATGCGCTCCTTGCAAACCAGATCATGCTTTTTCAGTGCCTTGAGCCGCAAACAACATTGGAAGCAGTCAGGAAAAGGGTTTGAACAAGTCATAGTATGATGTTCTTTGATGTTTTTGCAACATTTGATATTGTCATTCTAGTTGTGATTCTGTCTTCCCCACACTGAGCACCTCTGCTCCACCACTCGCTCCACGTGGCAGGCACCTCTGCCACTTCGGTACGAACACCGCCCAGCGCGCTGCCAAGTTTCTGAACGCGGCCTGCGCGGTGACGCCGTTGGTCGTTGGAGCCTATCAGAGCCGATCTGGCATGAAACTCTCGATGCTGGCGCCTCAACGGCCCCGTCTCGATGCGCGGTGTTGTGTTTGATGCCCAAACCTAATGGCCCATAACAGCCCTCCCCCCCGATGTGTTGATGGTGTCGTTGTTCTCACATATGTTTTAAAGATTATATATGCATAGGGGCAGTTCCTCCAGCAAGGTCCTTTTGTCACTTTTTAGTCTATGGCCAAGTCCGAACACCGTGCTGATGTGGGTTCTTTCAATTGGATGCGCGACAAGGCGGGAGGTCACAGGTCTTCGCAGGTCACGGTGTTGGTTTATATGAGCAACCGCCAAAACGTGTGAAGACTAATTTAATCAAGAAGAGTCGTGAATGTCAGGAATTTGATGGAATTTGGCTACAACTTGCAAAAGCGATAGGGCCCCCTCAGCGATTGGCCCATGTCGCTGCAGCTTTTCGGATATCTTCGGCTGTGTGAAAAGGAGTGAATTCAGGAGTTAAAAAGAAATAACTCTTGAGTTAGTTCTTCAGGATCCTGTACGTTTCAACAACCTGTTGACTTGAATTACCTCTGGAGGTACTTCTTTTTCAGCCGTGGGCATGTCTATGAATTAAGTCCTGATTTAATTCTTTTTGAAGCCTGCCCACAGGTGGCGGATTTAACTCGAGAGTTAATTCTTTTTCATGTGGGTTTCCACGCCTGGAAAAGAATGAACTCAGGAGTTAATTCTCCAGAATGGTGTCAGGAAGAATGCTGTTCATAATTGTTCGCCCCACACTGGTCGCTTGCCGGAGTTATTTAACTCAAGACGCTTCGCGTCGACAGCGGGCGGAGCCTCGTCTGTACACGTGGAATTTCCCTCGAATGTACACGCGGAGAATTGATCTCGTTTGTGCACGTGAAACTCGGATGTGCACGCGGCTTCCTCGGCTGTACACGCGGCTTACACGGCTGAAAAAATGAATGAATGAATGAATGAATGAATGGAACCCGACCAGATTGTTTCACAATCTGAACCTTGTTGTCTCATTTTACGTCCATCGCTTTAGATGCGCTGTTTGGGCTGTCAGATCCGTGGACGGGCACAGCGCGCAGACATGCGAGCTGCGGAACATGTGTCGTTATGATTTCGACAGGAAGTCACGTTGTTAAGTACCTTCACCTTAACACGTCAGAAGATGAAACGCCCGTCGGCTGCCATGCAGCGCCCCTCAGCCGCTTTGGCGCGACCTGCGGCTCAGATGGAGGACCTGATTGTTTGCTTGTCAGAGGCCTGCGCTTTTTCGTTCGCTTCGCCTCGCGTCGTCCGCTCCGCGCGCCTTGGTTTCGCGCTCGGTCCGAGGGCCTTGGCTTCGCGCTCGGTCGTCTGCCTCGCCGGCTCCGCTCGTTGTGGCTTGGTTGCGCGCTCATCGCGTCCTTTCCGTGTGTTTTGGCTTCGCGCTCGGTCGTTCGCCTCGCCGCTTCCGTTCGTTGCGCCTTGGCGTCGCGCTCTTCGCCCGGTTCGTTGTGCCTTGGTTGTCTTTGAACATTTTTTCTTCTTCGGCCGTGCCGGACGTTTTTGAAGCAGCTTCTCCGCCGTGCCTGGGTTTCGTTATCGTACCTGTTGTTAGCCGACCCCGTGCACCGTGGCCGCGGGACTGTCTGTTCAGCCTTCGTTTCGATCGCAGGCGCGCTTCATCGAGTAGTGGCGTGTCTTGCATGGAGCAGCTTCAGGACCCTGGCCAGTCCAGCCGCTTTGGTTCCGACCTTGTTTGCACCGTACACCTTAGAGTCGCAAACAAAGCTTGCAAACTGCAAGCGTAGCAAATGAGGAAAGAACTTTAACGAAACAAAGAACATATAGATCATATGAGACAGTATGTTTTTCCAACAGCAAAAGTAGTTCTGAAGGATTTTTCTTATCCCGGTTTCTTGACCATTTTGTTCTGAAGTGGCGCAGGATCCCAACAGAGATCTTGCGGAGCCGAGCTACGAGCCTCCAGAGTACATGGACACGCCGGACGTGAACAGTCGGGCGTCTGCTGCGTCTCCTCATGATGGTGGGCAGACGTTTGCTGCGGCATTGAGAAGTCGAGGCCACGTTTCGCCGGAACCAGCAGTCTTTGTGCCGCGTTCTTCGGGCCGCTTGTTTGATCGCGGAGTCAAGCGCAAATTGCCGGAACCACCTGGAATCACTCGAGGTTCTGAGGGTTACTTCAGTGGAGTGGCTTCTTGGAGTCAACCTGACACAGTGGACAGTGAGCCTGAAGACGATCCACCGCTGCCTCCAGAAGCTTCGCTCCGTGTAGATTTGAACAGATCTACGAAGTGGGGTCGTTGTCCCGACCAATCGTGTCTTCACAGCATGAAGCCACACTTACTACGGTCTGGTCCTCGTCGGGGGCATCTTGTGCTTTATTGCACCAGGTGGTGGAACAAGGGACCAACCAATGGTCGTGAATGCTGGGGCCGTCGAGATTTTGATGTATTCGCATTTCTGAGCTTGACCGCAGGTTGAGCCGTGAGTACCACGCAATAGAAAATCAACTTTTGCGAAGTGGCAGCAAGCGACACTAATGTCGCCGCAAGTGCGCGGGCGATCTCGAGGACCTGTGCCTGATGGAGCACCAGATGGCAGAATGTCAAAAAAGAGGTATTTGCAGACTCTTTCTCTTCCCGTCCAGGTCGTTCAAAAAGATGTGTGTAATACTATGTATATACTCTCTCCATCTTGATATGTAGCTTCTTGTTAATAGTTGTAGCCTCTAGGCCATTCATCTCTACCCTCTCTCTCTCTCTATCTACATCAACACCATTTTTCCCTGAAGGGACCTTGGGGAATTGGGTGGGCTTTTCTCATCAAGTCCAGTCCTCGGTTCTCTCCAGGTAGGCAGTTGAAATGGAAGCGATCATCCAGCGTTTTCGTGCGTTTAAACCCATCCCTGCCGAGCCTGCGGCGAGCCGCACTTATCCTCCATTTCCAGAAGTTTCTAACCAGATCAATTCCAGCAGTCTTTGAGGGGTGACAACTGAACTGGAGATGACGTGGATGGATTGTTGGGATTAAATCAACAAACTTTGATGCGTGAACTGTTCGATCTGATCCATGCGTCAACTCCGCATTTCTTGTGTTTTGTGCAAAAGAACATCGTGGACACTGGTGGATCGCTCTCTGTTATTGGCATGGGCATTTCCAGCAGTCTTGAAACGCTTGTTCTTTGCGCCAGGAGTATTGAGGATCCCGGGTCGCACGCCCGGACTGAAGACGAAGAGCAAGCAAGGGAAAAGACTGGCGGGCTGGTGCTTCGCTGTTTGTAGTCTTGTTGGGAGCTGTCACGACATGCGCGCATGCAACTTTAGCTGACAAAACGATGTGAAATCTTTAGTTGACATGAAAGAATGAAGAACGCAGAGCGTCTGTGTGACGTGAACCTGTGGAAGCAATGAGCAAAAAGAGATCATCATGTAGATGAAT